CCTCCCAGAATCTGCATTTTAACCAGCTCCCCCAAGCACTGGTAAATGCATGTAAAGTGCATAAACCAAGCACTCAGGTGCTGTTTTAACCTACCAGGCTCCCTACTTCTCACCTCTTTTCCTCTTTAATTTGCTATGCTTGTCTCATGGTAAGTTGGTTAGGATCCCTGAACAAAGTTGTATAGAGCTGGAAGTCAGTTGGGTATTTCAAATAGCTGTGGTGCTTTGGGTTGTTTAGAGCTTGTGAGGAATAATGACATGTAGACAAACCAATCCCACTAACCATGACAGGTAGAGGGCAATTTTTTTTTTTTGGCACAAAGCAAATATTTAATAAATAATTTCTGAATAATTCAATTTGTTCGCTATTTCCTTAGTTACTCTTAGAGAAGTGTTATTTTCTATTCTTCTTTTTAAGAATTTTAATTCCAGTTTAGTTAATATACAGTGTTAAATTAGTTGTGAGTATACAATATGGTGATTCAACAATTCTATACATCACCCAGGGCTCATGAAGATAAAGGAACTCTTATTCTCCCTTCACCAATTTCACGCATCCCCTCTGATAACTATCTGTTTGTCCTCTGTAGTTAAGAGTGGGGTTTGGGGGGTGGGGGGTCTGTCTCTCTCTTTTTCTTTTGTTTTGTTTCTTAAATTCCACCTTTGAGTGACATCATACGGTATTTGTCTTCCTCTGGCTTATTTCACTTGGCATGATACTCTCTAGCTCCATCCACGTCGTTGCAAATGGCAAGATTTCATTCTTGTAAATGAATGGAAACTTGTGAGTCATTCCTGCCACAGTCTTCTCACTTCTTCCCTGCACCAAATCCATTGTGCAGTAGTGATGCCAACCCCCCAGCACATTCCTAGGCCAACCCACCATTATCTCTTGCTTGTTGAACTATAACAGCCTCTTTACTAGTCTCCCCACATCTACCTGGGCCCCCTCAAATCTGTTCTCCATCCTACAGAGACATTTATCTAAACCAAAAGTCCTGTCAAGTCCCTCCCCTATTTGAAATCCTTCTAAGGGGTGCCTGGGTGGCTCAGTAGGTTGGGTGACTGACTTCAGCTCAGGTCATGATCTCATGGTCTGTGCATTCAAGCTCCATGTCGGGCTCTGTGCTGATAGCTCAGAGCCTGGAGCCTGCTTCAGATTCTGTGTCTCCCTCCCTCACTTCTCCTCCCCCCAACCCTTGTGTTCTCTTTGTCTATCAAAAATAAATAAACATTGAATTTTTTTTTAATCCTTCTGAGCTTCCCATTACCTTTGGGATAGAGGGTAAAATCTTCAATATGGCCTACAAGGCACTTCATGATTTGAGAAGGATCTGCATGGACAATCTCACCTGGAGGCCTCCACCTCAGCTCCTGTGTTCTAGCTCTTTTCAGTCCCTGGATGCTGGCAAAGTTCTTCCTGCCTCAGGGCTTTTGTGTGTCCATTCTTTCTGCCTAGGACTAACTTTTCACCTCTAACTGGTATCCAGCTCTCTCAGCTTAGGTATCTTCCTCAGGGGAACATTCTCTGGCTTTTCAGCATGCACAGGCCCTGTTACAAGCTCTCTTAGCATGCTGTCCTTTTCCTTATCATAGGAAAAAACTAATGTCAATTGTAACAATGATGGATTATAATGAAATATCTATTCCTTTAATTAATGTAAACCAGCCTGTAGATTGCAAAAGGGCAGAGAGATAATGTGTATTTTGCTCAGATTATGTTGAATTTCAAATACCTACAATAGTGTCTCAGTTCTATAAGCAGAGGAGAGATGGAGGAAATCTTCAGGAGACAAAAAGGAAATTCAATGAGAGAGCAATGCCTTTTTGCTGAACAGCACATCAGGAATCTGAAGGACCAGAGTGATTGACTTAAGACTGGAAAGTTAGAGATGAATAGATGTCTGAAATGGAAGCCAGTAGTTCTCAGCCCTGGCTGGATATTAGAATCACTCAAAGAGCTCTTAAAAATACCATCGGCAGACATTCAGATTTATTAGGTGTGGTGTAGCTTAAGAACCAATATTTTCACCAGTTTCCCATCTTGATTAAAATTCATTGATCTAGGAAGAGGTAGGATCTGTACAGGGTCAAATATTTACTTGGTTTCAAAATTAGGACTAAAACCCAAGTCACCTGACTCCCACACTTTGATCTTTCTGCTCCCCTGGAAACCCAAGAGAACTAGTACTGGAATGCATGTCCTTCTACATAAACCAAGTAGACGCTGAATGGAGGTAGGAAATCAATTCAGTTAATTAATAGAGTGCTTAGGAAACTCTGGAAAAGCAAAGCTTACATGGCTGAACAACGAGGCATCTTAGAGTGAAGTAACCCCCTCTCTCCAAAATGGACAGAGACACACTAACTCCATCCTCGTGTATGTCTGCTTTTGTGTAGTTTGTGTTGTTGCATATAAATCAATGAGTTTTTCCTTTCATCTCAACCATCCTGAGATGGTGATGCTGAGCTGCTGTCATGGAGCACAGTGACTTCTCTGGATCCCACGAGATCCACAGAGGAAATTCTTCTGTGACCGAGAGCCCTGTGCAACCAATTTATTAGTATAATTGGATATTAAAGTATTCATTTGTCTAAGATAAATCTCCATGGGCCAACTAACATGTCAACAACTGCATTAAGCAAGTGAAGGGGTGTCTGTCTGGATGGCTCAGTCAGTTAACCACAACCTTGGCTCAGGTCATGATCTCATGGTCTGTGAGTTTGAGCCCCACCATCAGGCTCTATGCTGACAGTGTGAAGCCTGCTTGGGATTTTCTGTCTCCCTCTCTCTCTGCTTCTCCTTCAACTCACATGTTCTCTCTCTCAAAATAAATAAATAAGCATTTTTTAAAAATCCCTCCTGGGATTCTCTCTCTCTCCCTCTCTCCCTGCCCCTCCCCCACTCATGCTACCATGCTCTTTCTCTCTCAAAATAAATAAATAAACTTAAAAAAATCAAATCAAGACACTGCTCGTGCTTTTTCATTGCTCTAAGACTCTAACGTAATATAGCGTAGGAAAAATAAAGAGAATTTCTTATTATTTAACAAGCTCGCTATGTCAAGAAAGCAGGATCTTTCAGATCATGGTAATCAGTTGAGAAGCCCCTGATATTATTCAGATTGACTTACTCACTGAATAAGAGGAACTCAGGACAAGGCTCAGGGGTAACACCAAAAAATAGAGAACTTCCATTGGTGGTCTTCACTACCTGATCATCTAAAAGAGCATTCTTAACCCCTTAGCCCCTCTCGCCAACCAAGAAAAGAATATTTGAAAGCCAAGAGTCTTCTATTTGGGTTCCACTGTCTAAGTGAAAGACAAAACGGTAAAAGTCGTACCAGGGAAGAAAGGAGGGAAAGAGGCAAGAAAAGAGAAGGATGGGGCGGTACCCTTAGCTAAAAAGATGCTTCACCTAGTCCTGAGGCAAGGGGAGGGGATCTTCTAAATATAGACTATCTGGGTCAAAAAACATGTTAGTCCTGTCCTAAAGAGAAAGGGGCACATAGGGAGCAGGCTTAGAGTATTCAATTGCTCAGGATCCCCCAACTCTCAGGCCAGACCTTTATCTACAATCTAAATCCAGAAAATCCCCAGGTAAGCTTGAGACAAGGGAGACTGGGCAAACAACGCATCTGAGAAATGGGGCCTGGAATGTTGGAGAATCCCAGCCACCCTCAGCTCATTCATGTGCATGCATTTTCCCCATTTCCAGTTTCTCGCCCACCCCACTTAGGCATCTTCTCAATGTCCTTACTCCCCCCCAAAGTGGGTTCCACACCAGGGCCAACCTTTGTGCCCAGTTTGAGGCTTATGGAATATAACCTCCCCCCAGCACACTGGTGCCCGCCATAACAGGGCAGCCCCTCCACACTCAGGATTGTCCTCTCTAGGCAGCAAACCCTCCTTTGTCAGAGACTGGCTCTGGTTACATGAGCGTGCTGAATATATACTGAGAGGCCGTTACAGGAGCAAGCGAGACGAAGTGTCGTGACTGACTTTGTGGTTTAGTGAGGTTCTGCCCTGTTGTTTCTCTGCACATTCCACTCTCTCTGGTCTAACTTGACTCGGAGTTTTTGTTCCTAGACTAGGCAAGCAGCTTATGTTCTCTTTCTGACCCAAACTACCCCTCCTCCCAGCCTAGGCTGCACCATACCTGTGGCTGGCCCATCCTCCATGGAACATAAATCTCCAATCACCTAGCTCTTACTCATCTGGCAAAATTCTTCTTTGTCTTTGCTTTCTGCGCACATACCTGCACCCACCTTTGGCTATTTCAAGTCACTGAGACAAAAATTGTGGTTAGCCATGAATCATAAACCAACCCCAAGTAGCCATGCTCGTTGACCGTAGATGCTCAGGGGCTCCCATTAGAGCTGACAGACGCCGTCACCCCCAAGGGAGAGTTTGCTCCCGTCACCAGCAGACTCTTACGGCTACTCTACACCTCTGCCCAGCCATCCTTACCACCGTGGGTCTCTGAACAATACTACAGAACGGCAACCCCACAGGCATAAAAGGAACCTCAGAACCTGCTACTTAATCTGGGCACCTTGTGCAGGGGACCTGACAGGTGGTCTGACAGCTGACACAGGATTGCCTATGAGATCACATTGACAGTACACAGAAGAGAGTGCAGGCCAGGAAGGATGTCTGTGTTGCCCTAACAGACTAGAAATGGACTCAGAAATGTACTTGGAGCATGATTTTCCTCCTTTTCAAACAATAGGGTTTGCAAATTATAAGGAAGTTCACAAATGTACAGTGTTTGCAATACCAAGTATTCTTTCAGGGTTAGTGAGAAAAACCATAGCTCCCTGGATAAGTATGTTTTTACTCATTAAGCCCCTTCTCATGCCAAATTTGTGTCTGAGTGATCAGAAGCCTGCTGCTGGAGCCCAGGGAGTAGCGCCTTTCCTGGGTAGGTATCCCTCTGGTGTCTAGCACCAGCACCCCGCGACCCTGCTCCCCTTCCACCCCCTTCTGGGAAGAGTCACCTGTAGCAGTTTCTGCTGGAGCACTGTGTTGTCCCGGGGATCTGTGCGGTTGCCCATGCGGAACTTGAGGGGGCGGTAGATGCAGCAGGTGGTGAAGCAGATCATATAGAGCAAGTACAAGGCACCTAGAATGTGGAAGTACCGCTGTCCGTATCTCTTCCACTTGAGGCTCACCAGCTCTTTCACTGGGGTCTGGTCCAGGATCTGGCGAGCCTGCCATGGAAGGAGAGCACAAGCTGGGGGGCGGGGGGTGACCGACAGGGTGAGGAGTGCTGGTTTTCCCACCAGGTCCCAGAGGGCAGGGCAATAACAGCATCATCACCATACAGTCTGTTACAGAAGTAAACCCAAGGCACCAGAACCCCAATGAGGCTTTGAGGGATGAGCAGTAGTTAGTAGAAAAGAGGAGTTAAAGATCGGTCCATGAGTAGCAGCAAGTGCCAAGGCAAGGAGGTGAGAAAGGAGGTGATCTGCAAATGAGGTGTGTCTGGGGATGTGAGAGGACCCATGGGAAGTGGTGGGCAGGAGTTGTAAGGGGTGATGTAGGTAAGAGGTAGACCATCAGGTATTAGGAGCACAGTAGGGAGTTTGAATTATCTTTCCAAATGCAATAGGGAGCACTGAGGGGTCCAAGCAAGGAAGTGGGCTTATTTTCTCTGCAAGTCTTATGCACTAGAGAGGAGCAGTAGAGGCACAGAAAGTTGAATGAGGCAATCATCTAAGCCCCCATGGTGGGCTGGGGTCTGACGGAAGTAACACAGTGAGGGGTTAAGCACAAAGGATAGTGGAGGATGGAGGGGATGAGGCATCTGAGAAAGTGAGAAAAGGCGAAAGTCAAAGCATAGCTGGAGGAATGAACCATTAGCAAACAGAATATCTCTTCTGCTGAACCCAGAGGGAAGGAGAGATGGTGAGTAGTTTCTGATATGTTTGGCAGTTCAGGACAGGAAGTAGAAGGAGCCCGATTTTTGAGGAGAGCCTCAATTTTTGCCATGATGTAAGAGTCTGGGCTTCAGTGGAACTAAGGGGGGAAGGCTGTGAGGTATGTAAAAAGGGCTAGGAATTTGGAAGGAGGGGAAAAGTAGCTGACCAAAACAAGAATAAAACCTGGAAGAGAACGCTGAGAGCTCGCTGAAACTGGAGATCAAGAATTAATGTTGCCATAATTCACACAGCAGGACTGGCATTCTAATTCCTAAGAAATCCTGAGGGAAGTTTATCTGCTTCCAGGAATATTCTCTGAGCAAGACCACACAAACTGACTTTTCAAGTTCTCTTCTTTCTGTGGGTATTAACAATTTCTGAATTTTATGGCCTTAGAAGGGCTCTCAGGACATTGTCAGGTTGCAGACAAACAATAGAAATTCCCTCTTGCTACTATTTTGGAGGTTCACGAGGACCTGAAGCATTTTCTCCTCACTCCTAGAGTCTTCAACAGATTTTCCCTTCCCACCTGCCACTCAGTTCAGAACTATCAGAATGGCACACTTGTTTCCCCCTCTCTGGAGAGTTCTCCGCCCCTCATCTTCCTGGAGATTCCAGCTCCCCCTTGAAGACCCAGCTCAAGCCCTTCCTCTGTGACATCTTCCCTGGCCCAACCAGGATAAGTCACTTGACCTCAGCTTTGCTGCCACTGGGCATGGTGCAGACCCTTCTCGTAGCAGACATTGTACTCCATTGTAGTTATTGAGGACAGGGACTGGACTGTGAGGAAGCGACAAGACCTGGGACTTATTTATTTCTGTACCCTCAGTTCCTTGTACAGCAGCTGGGACTCAGAAGGCCCTCAATGTGCTGAATGAATGAATGAATGAATGAATGAATGATAGGAAGTGACTGCCATTTGGAGAGATCCTCAGCTAAAAGGATAGTATGAGAAAGGTAAGCTGAAAAGGCTAGAGCTGGGTAGAGGGAGCATACAGTCAGATTGGACTTTTCTCCCAAAGGCCCCGCAGTTGGGTTCTCACCTCCAACTGTTATAAGGTGGGGGAAGTGTCTGGATCCTGGGATCTAAGCAAATGGACAAGCTTTGCTCAGACAGCCCCTGGTCCTCTGTGGCACCCATACCTCTCGCTTCTTGGAGGAAATCACGAGCTCTAGAAAGGACACATCCTCCCCCCAGGAGTCAATCTCGGTGAGGTCGTAGAGAGTGGAGGTCAGCGGCCCGTAGGTCCACTGGATGTGCTTCCGCTTCTGCATCAGGTGCTGGAACATCTGTGAGGAACGGCGGGCAGTCAGAGGGTCAGTGTGAGAAGCTGGCTGGGGGTCTACACCGCTTAAGAAGGCTGTGGCCCACTCCTTGGGACTAACGGACGGTTCGTTGCGTGAGCCTCCTTTTTTCTGGTTATCCTTCTTTCCCACGGACCCTATAAAGATCTGAACGAGGAAGACAAGTAAAGGGAACAGAGCTCCGGGGTCCCAGAGCTGATGCTCTGAAGTGACATTCTCAAAGCCTCCGAGTCAGGAGTCCCTGAGGCTGAGCAGGCTCCCAACCCTCTGGGCAGTTGGGGAGGAAGGGTCTTTGGACGGACGCCACGGGGCCGGGGGAGTGCCCCTCACCACGTTGTTGCCCTCCACTCCGGCCAGCTTGAAGGGGGTGAGACCCTGGTGATTGGGCACGAGGTCCAGGGACTGCAGGTGCTCCCTGCGCCCATCGTAGGACAGCAGCAGGTTGTACATCTGGCAGGCAAAGGTCTTGTTGGGCTGCAGGATGAGGATGTGCAGCACGGTGTTTCCTGGGGGAGGACGCGGGCGTCACGGAGCCATTGGGCTAAAGTCCCCGCTGTTCCCCTGCCCACCCTGGGGTGGGCCTGCGGGCTGTCCCGGCCCCTGCCCTCACAGCCCCCCAGCACCCCGGCTCTTACCCAGGGAGTCCTGGGCCCGGATGTCGGCTCCATGCTCAATGAGCAGCCTCACGATCTCCTCACTGCCCACGCACGCAGCGAAGGACAAAGGGTGCTCCCCTGTGGACACAGAGGGCTCCGTGGCATGAGTGCTCAATGGGCTCGGGGGGGTGGGCAGTGTTCCCGAGTGATTGCCTCCTTCCATCCACATCTCAGCTCTGGGCCTGGGGACACTTGTCAGCAGAAGCAGAGGCAGGGACGGAGTATGTGTCACGGGGAGACTTGGCTCTGGCCTTTAGTCCTAGAAGGCCTGACCCCTTCCACTTTTCCAGGGCTGGAGCCCTCCTCCACCCACCCTCCCTTTGCTCTTGCCCACCTCCCCATCCCCCTTCCTCCCAGCCCTGGCCCTGCTCTCACCAAAGTAGATGAGGTTGCGGGGGCTGCGGCGGAAAGCTGTGCCTGTAGCTCTGGCAGAGACGCTGGCCCCGTGGGCAAGGAGGGCTCTCACCAAGTTCACGTTCTGGTTCACGATGGCTATGTGCAGTGCGGTCTGACCTGGCCCAGAGAGAGCCTCAGTCATGGGGTCTATTCCCAATTCCTTCAAGGACACAACATCTCATTGGCAGGCAGGAGGTCTCTGACAAGTCCTGGCAAAGATTTCTGCCCTTGACTCAGTGCAGTGGCCTGGGACTCATGCCAATTAATCTCACAGGCTGTCCACCTCCCTGTCCCCATCTCTTGACTAGTGTGGGTAGAGTGTATATGGAATCTCTGTAATGTTGCCATAAGAGAAAGAAACAGAGTTTTGTCCTTCAGGGAACATGAAAGGAGTTGAAAGGAAATAGTGAATGGCTAAATAAAGTCACATATGCTTACAATTCCAGACTTCAAGCTGTATTATAAAGCTGTAATCATCAAGACAGTATGGTATTGGCACAAGAACAGACACATATATCAGTGGAACAGAACAGAGAACCCAGAAATAGAACCACAAATGTATGGCCAACTAATCTTTGATGAAGCAGGAAAGAATATCCAATGGACAAAAGATAATCTCTTCAGCAAACAGTGCTGGGAAAACTGGACAGCAACATGCAGAAGAATGAACCTGGACCACTTTCTACACCATACACAAAAATGAACTCAAAATGGTTGAAAGACCTAAATGTAAGACAGAAAGCCATCAAAATCCTACAGGAGAAAACAGGTGACACTCGCTTTGACCTCAGCTTCAGCAACTTACTTGACATGTGTCCAGAAGCAAGGGAAACAAAAGCAAATATGAACTATTGGGACCTCATCAAGATAAAAAGCTTCTGCACAGCCAAGGAAACAATCAGCAACTGACAGAATGGGAGAAACTATTTGCAAATGACATATCAGATAAGGGGTTAGTATCCAAAATCTATAATGAACTTATCAAACTCAACACCCAAAAAAACAAATAATCCAGTGAAGAAACAGGCAAAAGACATGAAGAGACACTATTCCAAAGAAGACATCCAGGTGGCCAACAGACACATGAAAAAATGCTCAACATCTCTCATCAGCAAGGAAATACAAATCAAAACCACAATGAGATACCACCTCACACCAGTCAGAATGGCTAACATTAACAACTTAGGCAACAACAGATGTTGGCAAGGATGTAGAAAAAGAGAAACCCTTTTTTAAAAATGTTTATTTGTTTTTGAGAGACAGAGCAGTAGTGGGGGAGGGACAGAGAGAGAGGGAAACACAGAATCTGAAGCAGACTCTTGGCTCTGAGCTGTCAGCACAGATCCCCAGCATGGGGCTGGAACTCACAAGCTGGAAGATCATGACCTGAGCCGAAGTTGGACACTTAACCAACTGAGCCACCCAGCCCCCCCAAATAGGAACTGTTTTGCACTGCTGGTGGGAATGCAAACTGGTTGCAACCACTCTGGACAAAAGCATAGATGTTCTTCAAAAAATTAAAAATAGAACTATCCTTTGATCCAGCAATTGCACTACTAGGTATTTATCCAAAGGATACAGAAGCACTGATTCGAAGAGGCACATGCACCTTGATGTTTATAGCAACACTATCAACAATAACCAAATGTCCAAATGTCCATTGACTGATGAATGGATAAAGAAAATGTGGTGTATATATATATACATGTATATATATATACATATATATATACATATATATACATGTATATATATGTATATATATATACAATAGAATATTACTTGGTGATCAAAAAGAATGAAATCTTGCCATTTGTAACAACATGGATGGAACTAGAGTGTATTATGCTAAGCAAAATAAGAGAAAAACAAATATCACATGACTTCACTCATATGTAGAATTTAAGATACAAAACATGAGGGAAGGGAAGCAAAATTAATATAAAAACAGAGAGGGAGACAAACCATAAGAGACTCAAATACAGAGAACAAACTGAGGCTTGCTGGTGGGGTGTTGGGTGGGAGGGGGTGGGCTAAGTGGGGGATGGGCATGAAGGAGGAATGAACACTTGTTGAAATGACCACTGGGTGTTATACGTTAGTGATGAATCACTAAATTCTATTCCTGAAATTATTATTACACTACATGTTAACTAACGTGGATTTAAATTACAAAGGAAGAAAAAAAGGAAAGGAAAGGAAAAGGAAAAGGACAGCTGCGTTTGGAGCCCTCTATCAAGAGATGAATCTCAAAGAAAAAAAGAAGAAGAAGAAAAATAAAGTCATGGATGCTAAAGGCCAAGACTGGGACTCCTGGATGCCTTCTAAGTCCAGGGCAACCTTCTTGAACCCTCTAGCACCTCTTCCCAGGTCACCCTTCGGAGGCCCATTTTAAGAGGTGACATCAGGCTTTCCCATACCTGTCTCCACCTTGAATTGCTGTGTGGGATCCTCACCTACAAATGGCTCACACAAGGTGGGCTCCTTGACCAGCTCCGGGACAGCCTCTATCATCACCATGGCGGCCTCGAGATTGTCGTAGAGGGCCGCTATGTGCAGCGCGGTCTCCCCCAAGGCTCCTGGACGGGAGTAAGACAGGGTGTCAAACACTCAGAGCATCCTGAGGAAGGGGCTCCAGCTCGAGGTACTCTACCCCACCCCTCACAGAAATCATCAGTGTCCTAGGGCGAGGCAGTGGCCTCCGGTGGCCTGGCTCCATCACACTCAACCCACCTCTCTGTCGGAAGTCACAGTTTCGGTCCAGCAGAAGTTTCTTCAAGGCACACAGGTCATTTTTCTTGGCTGCCTGAAGCAATGGAGACTCTTGGATCCTGGGAGAAGATGAACGTGAGTCCAGTAGAGACAGAATCACTGAGAGGCCAAGGGCAGAGAGAGGACCAGGGACCTTCTCTGCACAGAACAGATAAGAGTCACACAAAGTGTGCAGTGACACATTGCAAAGAGTTGTTAACTGGACTCTAGCTGAGGGCCAGACTGGGGGAGAGCTTCCCCTGTGGTTGCATCATTGCCAGCTCTGCCCAAGGTGGGGGTGGGGGGCTGGGGGTGGGGGCTCAAGGCTCAGGTGGGCAGGAGACTCTGTGGGGGGCAGAAGGGATCCATGCTGCTGAGTGGGTGGCCCCGGTGACCCTAACAGGAGACCATCAGCCCTGGCTGAATCCACCTAAGCTGAGTAAATGTCTTCACCCGTGCTCCCAGGCCGGCTGAACCGGCTCTCCTGAGGCAAAGGGAGTCAGAGACCAGAGGGGCAGAGAGACAGAGAGGGGCCAGCTGTTGGAACTTGAGAGATTTACAAGCTGCCAAAACTCTAAATATCCTTCCCGCTACTCAGAGTCAGACCCCCCGCTGTGGCAGTGGGGAGAGGGAGGGTTCTGGAGTGGGGGGTACAGAGGATGGATTCCTTCTGTGTTTTACCCCATTCGTAACTGAGGAGGAGCATAGCCTTGGGCTTCTCCGGGAACCGAGTCGCTAGGAGCTGAAGCAGCCCTGTGGAGGTATCCATCCTAAGGTACCTCTTGTCGGTTAATCTTTGTTTCTCCCCTGCCTGGATGAACTGAACAAGAGATAAAGCTGAACCACTCCTGCTGCTGGGCAGGCACAAATCGGCTCCCAAGGTGAATACAAGGCACGGGAGGGTCATGGGGGGGGGGGGGGGGGGGGGGGGTGAAAGGCAAACACACTGACCAGTGCTTCCTGTGATGTCCCCAGGCCCCCAGATCCTCTGCTCCAATCGCCCTGTGAGCCAGGGGGAAGAATGTTTTTACTTAAAGAAGAAGCTTTTTATCTTAAGATGGAGCTCGGGTCTGCCCATTAGAAAAGTCCTCTCTGTTCATAGCAGCACTCTCAACCATAGCCAAAANTGTGAGCCTAAGTGTCCATCAACAGACGAATGGATCAAGAAGATGTGGTTTATCTATACCATGGAATACTACGTGGCAATGAGAAACAATGAAATCTGGCCATGTGTAGCAACATGGATGGCCCTTGAGGGTGTTATGCTGAGCGAAATAAGTCAGGCAGAGAAGGACAAATATCATATGTTTGCACGTATAGGAGGATTAGGAGGAACTTAACTGAGGACCATGGGGGAGAAGAAAGGGGGAAATGGTGGGAGAAAGGGGGAGAGGCAAACCATGAGAGACTCTATTCTGAATGCTGAGAAACAAACTGAGGACTGATGGATGTGGGGGGGGAGGGGCATGGAGGAGGGCACTTGTGGGGATGAGCACTGGGTGTTATATGGAAACCAATTTGACAATGAACTATTTGTAAAAAAAAAAAAAAAAAAAAAAAAAAGGAAAGAAAAGTCCTCTCTGGAGGGTCCAGCACAGTAAGGGCCAGCCCCCTCCCCACCTCGCCTAGACCCTCGGGGTGAATAGGCCCAGCTCAGGGTCCCCAGGGCTAGGATTCACCCCCTGTGCTGGACGCACCGCCCTCTGCAGAGGGGAGATCCAGAACCCAGCTCTCTCTCCCAGACTGTCCTAGCCTCACCCTGAAGTTTGGAGGGAGATGGGGAGGCCAAAGGTTCCCTCACAGAGCCTGGGGTGGGGGCTGGTGAGCAAGGAGAGAGCCTTTTCCAAATGAGGGCTCAGACCACAGCCACAGCCAGCTGTACCATCTGTGAGGCCCGGTGCAAGAGGAAAATGCAGGGCTCCCTGTTCAAAAATTAAGAATTCCAAGTTGACCACAGCAGCGCATTAAGCCAAGGGCAGGGGTTTTCTGTAGCATGGCATCCCGTGCCGCCTTAGAGGCCACCTGCCCGTGGAGCCCCCCTGGCTGGACCCCAGACCTGCTGCCGTCTGCTCACACCATCCCCAGGCAGCCCTCGGATAGGTGACAAGTTCCCCAGATGCTCCGAGGCAGAGGCCCACCTGCAGGCTAGGCCCCTGCCCCGGCCACTTTTCAGTGCAATATACCAGCCCCTGCAGGCACCCCCAGGGCGGGCACAGGCCTATTCAGTCTACATATCCTCCGGACCCAGCATTCCGCTGTGCAAAGTAGATGCTCGATAAAAGGTAGATACGCTGAGTTTCCCTTATCAGCTGGCCACCCCCAGAAGTTATACAGAACAGAGCTCTCCTCCCCCTTTTTACACAATCAGTTTTCATTCATACTAACGGGAATGCCCCGCTCTTTCTCCAGGCGACGTGTCTTCAAAAACCACCAGGGTCTCTTGCCTTCCCCAGCACTTTGCTCCCCACCAGCTTTCACCTGCCTAGCCTCCCCCTCCTCCAATCTGCTTTCTTCTATCTTTCTTCTGTCCCCCACCCCCCTCCTCCACCATCCAGGCAGGTTAGAGCTGGAGTGTCGTTTTGTCCCTGGCTTCGAATCTACGCCCAGTCTCCTCGGGCCCACTCAGAGGCAGCGGGGGGTTGTAAGGAGCGGGCCGGGTACACCCAACCGCCTGGCTGAATGCTGGGCTGCTCCAAACAGAGACACAGGGAGACACGGGGGAGTGGATTGGTGGGCTGGGGGATTGGGGGGGGGGGGCGGGGGGAATGTGGCATGACCAGGGCAGCCTACCTCTTCTGCTGCAGCATGTGAGCCTCATCCAGATGCTGATCCCAGTCCTGCTCTCTGAGCAGCCAGGAGGCCAGAAGTTTCTGGAGTTGGACCCAGGGCCCTTCTGCCTGAGGTGGAGGAGCCCCCATATCGTCTCCTTTCAGGCACTGGCAGGTTAGGGAATGTGGTAAAAGGAGCCCGTCTAGGAATCCACTGCAGAGGAGGCGGGGTCTGTTTGGGGTTGGGACTGAGAGTGAGTATATCTCCCGTGTGACCTGTGTATACAGCGTGCAGTTTGTGGGTGGAGCGTGTGTGTATGCAGTGAGGGACTGGGGGCCCTGCCAGGAGAAAGTGGCTTTACCTGGTGGGGGGGGGGGAGGAGCTCTCTCTACAGAGCCCCTGGGACACAGAACCTGCCCTAGAGCCGGGAAGCGGGGTGGGGGAGGCATCTTCCCTTCCAGCAGTGGGCTGGGGCTGCAGCTGGAGACGGGAAGTCAGAGGAAGGCTGTGGAATGTAGAGGGGGAGCAAGGATGAAGCCCAGAAGGGGGGCCCCGGGAGCAAGGTGAGCACTTACTGGGATACAGGAGCGGAGAAAAGTAGTAAAGCCCTCCAGCTTGACAGTCATGCAGGTCCTGCTTTGTACTCTGGCTCTTGGCCTCTTACAGATCATTTAGGCAAGCTTCCTGAGCCTCAGTCTTCCAATCCGTACAATGGGGCCAATAATTGTACCCTCTCTTGTGTCTGTAAAGCATGATCCTAAGAGTTCAGTGACTGCTGGTTCTCCTTTCACAGATGGGCTGCAGGCCCTGAGGGGCTGCTTATCTGCATTGTGGTCTTTGTGGTCATCTCTGTCCTCAACCCTGCTGCCAGCCTCCCGGAGGCTTCCAGAACGCAGTCCTCAGTGAGACTTCTCTACCTTCACAGCTTCCTGGAGCCTCAGGCAGGGGAGACCCCAGAAATGGAACAGCAGGAGTTGAGCCGAGGTGGTGGACAGGGGAATCTGGGGGACTCTCTTCAGGAATGACGAGCCAGGACTAAGGACACATGACATGCTGTGTTGTCTTCTGATAGGATGGTTACTATTTCTCTTCTGATTGTAAATGCACGTTATTGAATTCGAGTCATCCACGAGACAGATGAGGTGCATGGGAATGGGCTGAGGGTCCTCTTTATTTTCTAACGAGAAGAGCAGAGCACAGAGAGGGAGAGTAATCGCCCACGGCTAGTAACAAAACTTGACTGGCTTTAAAGTTGGAAACTTAGCTCCAGATTAACCACTGTAACTTGTTTTTTCTTCGGATCCTTCTGGCTGTACAGATGGGAGAGATCTGGGGGGGACGCAGGAACCTGGGGGTCTTTGGGAGCAGGGCACCCCCCTCTTCTTTTATTATAAGATTGAAGGATGGACAAAATGGCCTTTAGAGAAGGGAGATTGCAAGGGAAACAGATAAGGAAAGGAAGAGGAGATGCCAGAGACGAGAGCATGTTCTCACCCAGGTGGTGGGGAGATGCCAGCTGGGAGAGGGGAGGGGGTCACCTTGTAGGGCAATTTTCTGCTTTGCTGGGGGTTGGGGCTGTGTGGGATGGTAATGGCCTCTGAAGCCTTGGGACTTCCAGTCTAAGGAGATGGACGGAGCGATAAGGTTGAGGTGGGGGTTGTAGATGTGCTGATAAGCAGGGACTAGCAAAGGAAGGAGGCCTTCCTAAGAAATACTCAACCCATAAAGCTAATCCTGGAGGCAGTGGGGGCAGGGAGGGGCTGGCCCAGTCACAGCCACATGGAGCAGGTGCAGGGGGGCTCGCCACCAAGGGCCCCATCCTTGGGACTGGCGTTGGGGACAGAGGGGGGCTCAGGAACAAGTCCCCACCTCTGTGTCTTCACCCTCTCACTGGCCCAGGGTGCCTGCACAGGTCTGCTTCTATGAGGATGGTTTTTTTTTTTTAATGTTTTATTTATTTCTAGGAGAGAGAGAGAGAGAGACAGCGTGAGCAGGGTAGGGTCAGAGAGAAAGGGAGTCACAGACCGAAACAGGCTCCAGGCTCTGAGCCGGCAGTCAGCACAGAGCCCGACGCGGGGCTCGAACCCACGAACTACGAGATCATGACCTAAGCGAAAGTCGGACACTCAACCGACTAAGCCACCCAGGCGCCCCTATGAGGATGGTTTTTGATAAATAGAGTACAATATTGTAAACATATTCTCTCTTCCATATGATTTTCTTAATGATGTCTTTCCTCTAGTGTACTTTGTTATAAAAATACAATGTATAATACATATTGCATGCAAAATATATTCCAGTTGACAGTTTGCTATTGGTAAGGCTTGTGGTCAACAGTAGGCCATTAGTAAGGTTTGGGGGAGTCAAAGGTATATACTTGGATTTTTGACTGTATGTGGGGGGGGTCAGTGCCCTTAACCTCCTGTTGTTCAAGGGTCAACTGTACCCCTAATCTTTAAGGATTAAAGGCTGCCTGCTCTCCGCTGGCTTTCTCCCCTCACTGCTTCTCCTCTTTCATACCCCCCTCCGCCACCCTATTTCTCCCCCCTTCTTCTCATGCTCCCTCAACCCTCTGCGGACAAAAACACCTAGGACCTCTCTCCCCCCAGTCCGAGATGGCCCCAGAGCCCCTTGGTGTCTAAACAGTCAGAACTCTTCTTCGGATGTGATGTAGGGGGAGAGAAGTACATCATCCCTGGATTTTATCTTTTTAGGAGATACTCTCCCACCTCACATACCCACAGCCATGTAGGGAAAGGATTTGAACCAGACTTTAAAACATTAATAGTGATTAGCACCGAATAGTGGAATTGCTACCCCTTTTTGTTTTCCATACTTTTTAAATATTCCTGTAATTAAAAAAAAATTAAATTCCTGCAGGAGTTATCTCTTCCAGCACAGGGAACCGGGCAGGTGGGTGGTGAGGAAACGCAGGGAACAGTGGTCAGTACAACCCAGTTCTTTCCACGCCTGCCTGCCCCACCCCCAGCCTCCCTCCGCGTGCACATGCACTGAGCCTGGGTTGGCTTCTCTTTTTGCTGGGAACCAAGAAGCTCCTCCCCCAAAGTAACCAGATTAGTGATTTTTTTCCACCCAAGCATTGTTCCTGGGCCTGAAGGTCAATGAGTGCAAGGTAGGGGTGAGCCAGGTCATCTGCTTACTTGGATTTTTCTTCCCTCACCATCCCGGGACCTCGTGGACCCCTCCCCAGCCACCAGGTCACCTGGCCTGTGTCGGCAGGAAGTATACAAGAGGTTGTGGTTGTCCCAGGAGAGCTTTCTGGTGAGCACGTCTGCTAGCAGAAGTCCACCTGCGCTTCCCCGTCTACAATGCCCTCTTCCAGAAGGTACATGTTTCTGCACATGCATTTGGTGGTTCACGCCTATGTGGGATGCGTGGGCTCCAGGAGTGGCGTGAGCAGGTTGTGATGGCTCAAGGGTGCCCATCCCCCCTCCCACCTGCCCCAGCACCTGCCCTGTGGCTCCTGGCCTGCATTCGTTCTGGTTTACCAGGGCAGGACTCCATCCTATCTCCACAATCCCATCCTACCCCATCTGCAGCCATCTCTGCTCCAGGAGGCAGATAATTAGCCACAGCCCATTACTGCCAGCAGGTCTGTGCTCACCAGCTTCATGGGCCTGGCAGGCACTGGGGCTTTGAGGCAAGTTTCTGGAAATCTGTTATTTGGGATCCTGGCCTCGCTGCCATGCTACTTCTTCCTTAAAGACTCTAACTACGGGGCACCCTGTGGCTCAGTCAGTTGAGTGTCCAACTCTTAATTCCATTCAAGTCATGATCTCACAGCTTGTGAGTTCAAACCCCACATTGAGCTCTGTGCTGACAGCTCAAAGCCTGCTTGGGATTCTCTCTCTCTCTCTCTCTCTCTCTCTGCCCATTCTCTCTCTCTCTCTCCCCCTCCCTTGCTCACATGCGTGTGCTCTCTCTCTCTCTCTCTCAAAATAAATAAATAAAACTTAAAAAAAAAAGATTCTGCTTCCATCAAGGAAGAAGTTTGGAGAATGAGCCTCTAACAACTTTTTCTTTGTGTCTGAGAGTATGAGGGGCTGTAAAATTAGAAAAGAGGGGTTTGTCTACCAGTTCAAGAGGCCAAAGGATTAGAGAGAGGAAAGTCTAGAGGAAGGCGAAGGATGAGGGAATGATTTCTGCTTGGGCACAGGGTACCCCATGTTCTGTCTCTGTCTCTCATATGTACACATGCATGTGCATGCATGCATGTGCACGCACACACACACACACACACACACACACACACACACACACACCGTGTACCCTTTTCTCCCCCAACACCTGTGTCTCTCTACCTTCCTCATTTTTGATGGACCTGAGTTTCATGTATAGCCCAGGACTTGAGGATCCGATATTTCTACATTTGCTGTGGGCCACATCCTATACAAGCCACTTACCTTAGTGAAAGGCTGCATGGAAGAGAGGAAGATGTGATGTTTGAAATCAAAAGAGGTAGTCAAGGGGCACCTGGGTGGCTCAGTTGGTTAAGTGTCTGACTCTTGATTTTGGCTCAGGTTATGGTCTTGAGGTTTGAGCCTATGTTGCACTCTGCACTGACAGCATGGAGTCTGCTTGGGATCCTCTTTCCCTCTCTCCCTCTCTCTCTCAAAATAAATAAATGAGCATTAGAACAAAAAGAGGTGGTCTAGAGTCCTGCTCTGCCTTTTATTGTCTGTGTGATGTTATGCAGAAGAGTCATTTCTTTTATGAACCTCAGTTTCCTCATCTATATGATGGGTATGATGATACTACTACTTCAAGCCCCAGTTGCTATATAGATTGCATGATGTAATGAATGTGAAAGTACGTCACAAACTCTTAAGTCATTTTGTTGTTCTCCACAAGATGACACAATAGGATCATCCTAGAAGCCTCTCCTAGCTACTCACCACTCTCTTGCCCTGCAATGGAATTCTCTAGTGACCTGAATGAGGGGCAGGCCCATGGCTGTGAGGTCACAAAGCTCATGAAGTCAGAGGTCCTATGGAAGGGAAGGGAAGAAAATGGTGCTGGCAAGTGGTAAGGGCTGGGAAAGGGACAGGGGAGGGAGGTGGGGGGAGCCGACTGTGCTTAGGGGAGTAGGGAAGACCAAAGGCGGTGGGTGGCCAGGTCCATGACTTCCTTGGGCTCCCAGCTCTGCAGGGCAGTGTTCCTGGCTGCCATCCTGCTGCTGCTGCGGGTCAAGGTGGTGAAGCCTCAGAAAGGCAGCGTGGATCCCAAAGAGAGGAGTCAGAGCGAGGAGACACCCTCCACAGGTAAGACGAGTGTCGGGGGCTAGGGGTCAGATCTCTTTGGAGTCAGCACCCCAGGGCCTATCAGGCATGAAACCTGAGATAGGTCAGGTTGTGGGGAGAGAAGCCCAGTCCCTTATCATCTTAGTGTGAGAGGGTCAGGTAAAGGGTTTTGAGCAGGGTTCTTAGCCAGGGACGTATTCAGGGGCATACCACGGGCTGGTTGGAAGGTGGCTTTTGTGTGAATGGGCAGGGGTGCATTTGTCTTGGAAGAGGTTGTGGTTTCCATCCCTTCCCTCGGGTGGTCCCTCCCACCCCGAGTGTTGTAATCCTTTGGAGGAGGCAGTGTGAGGTAGAAATGGGGTGTATGGGCACCTGAGTTGGGGCTGTGATTCAATACAGACCAGAGGAGACCTCCAGATGGAGCACCGCCTCCCTGGGCAAGGAAAAGGGGATGCACAGTTGAGCCAAAAGCCTCAGGCTCTAACTTCTCAGATTCTCCAACTCATCACCTTTCTGGTATAGGCCAGGGTCGCGGCGGGAGCAGGTTAGGATCAGCCCTTTCAGTGCCTCCCCCTCTCCACTGTTCCAGACCAAGAGCAAGAGCATTTTGAAGAGCACTTTGTGGCCTCCTCGGTGGGGGAGATGTGGCAGGTTGTGGACATGGCCCAGCAGGAAGATGAGACGTCAGACACAGCAGCCCTTCGGGACCACCTCTTTGACCTAGCCTTCTGCTTCAATCTGGCCAGCATCATGGTTTTTTTATGAGGGACATTGAGGCTGAGATGGTAGCCTGGTTCCTGGATGAGGACCTTGATATCTACCTCCGCTTCATGATAGCTTACTGATCCCCTCTTCCCTCCTGGGCTCCAGGTCACTACTCCCAAGGGAGGTGTACATACAGCTTCTTGCCTCTTGCCAGTGGCTCTTCACCTCAGGATGCAGCATCCAAGAGATCGTGGTGCTGGCCTCTCAACTGTCCATTGCCCAGCTTGACCACCTCACCATGCTCTTAGCTCCATCTTCCAGGGCCAGAGACACCAGACCCATGGCCTTCTCTCTCCCACATCTCTCCTGGCTCTGCTCTGGACAGCACATTATGGGAAGGAGGCAGCAACAATAAAAGTAATAGCAATAAAGTCCTGAAAACATTTGGGGGCAGCTTTCTTAACCAAAGCCCTTTGTCTCTAACTGGTCTGTTTAATCACCCAACCTTTGGCCCACTGACCTTTAGACCCATTGGTTCTTCGCTTTTCCTGTGTCTATAGAACTCTCTTGTCACTTCTCTTATCTTCTCTGACTTCTAGGCATAGAACATATTAGGAAAGGGTCATTAACGGATAGCCGAAGCCAAGTGCCAGCTTTTATTTTTGAAAGGGAAAGGGAAAGGAGATAGTGCCTGATTCCATGGATGGGGCAGGGAGGTGTTGTTACATCTGAATTGAAGTCTCTGTGGTAGCCAGGTTACCAGAGCTGGCAGCGGCTGGAAGGGTTCATGAGGGCACCACGTGGACAGTGGAAATGTCTGGCAAAGGCTGGGGTGTTGCTGAGCGGCCCATGTACTCGAAGCATGGGAGGGCTGTGAGGATCCTGGGGTTTCCAGGTGCTGGGCTCCCCACACATCACCTGTGGAGAAAGAGAGGTCCATGCAGGGTAAGGAGAAGAGCAGAATAGTAGGGTATATTAGGGTTAGGAGCATGAGGCAGACCTGGTGCCAGTGTGGTGACTAGGGACAGCAGACAGAGATGAGAGCAGAGATAAGGCCACACATTTGTAGGTTATTTATTGTTTTATAAGTTTTTTTATTTTGAGAGAGAGAGAGAGAAAGAGTGGGAGAGAGGCAGAGAGAGAGAGAGAGAGGATCCCAAGCAGGCTCCATTCTATCTAGCACAGAACCCAATGCAAGGCTCAAACTTACAAACTGCAAGATCATGACTTATGCCGAAGTCTGACGCTTAACCAACTGAGCCACCCAGATGCCCCTGTAGATCATTTATCTGGCAGGATGTGTGTTAGGGAGGGCCTGGACTGTGTAATCAGACCATTTATAAGTGACTGAAAGGTGGGGATTGTAAAGAACTCTGTGAGAGAGTCTTATTTATTTTTATTTTTTAGAGAAGATGAGGGCAAGGGGAAGAGAGAGAGAGAGAGAGAGAGAATCTTAAGTGAGCTCTGCACTGGGGCTGAATCTCATGACCCTGGGATCATGACCAGAGATGAAATCAAGAGTCAGACACTCAACCAACTGAGCCACTCAGGTGCCCTGAGAGGGTCTTTAAGTATACTGAGGAACTGGGGACAGTGTCTGTTGAGGGAGCATGTAATACTCAGGTGGGGTCCACACCTGGGGGTGTCGTTTCCAACAAGAAATGAGGTCTATAGATAATCTGTCGAAGGCTCATTTTTGAGGAGAAATGAAAGAAAAGTTAGGCTCATCTCAGAGAGGGATTTGGCAGTAGAGGTTTTTTTTTCCTTTTTTGAAGAGGGTGCTGGATTTGGTAGAAGAATTTATAGTAATATGAAAAGATGGTCCCAAGGGGCATGTATGAAAATATGACAGCACGGACATCTGTGGCAGAGGGTTGGGGCTGTTTGGGGGAAGGTGTTTCAGGGAGGAGCCCCCCTTTAAGCATTAGCAATAGGGTACTTATCTGACAAGGAGCAAGCCGTGGAGGGAGGTGGCCACTGCCTACCTGAGCATAGCTTTGGAAGAAGAGCTGTTGAGGGCTGAGGTCCAGGTTGAGCAGGATGGTCTCTCCATGGTACCATAATAGCCTCTTGCTGTAAGCCTGGATGTGGGGGTGGGGTAGTGAGTAACCCTTAGACTCTAGACCCACAGCCACTTGGGAGTCTGAAGCCCTACACACAATACCGAAAACCAGTTCATGGCCCTTTTGCCCAAGTTCCGCACACACACTGGTCTGAGCCAGGGAAGAAAATGTACTTGTGAGATCTACGGACAACCTAGAAAAGAGGAATCTGTAGGGTTGGAGGATTCTCAAACTGCCATCTGCTCAGTGGGGGTGTGAAGGGCAAGAGGCTTTATAACTATGTTTGCACAAGGGATGGTAGAAGGAAAGACCATGAAGACAGAATGGCTCTTAGTAGATCCTGTCCCTTGGGATACGAGTTACCTGCAGTGCAATGGCCAATCCCCCGATGTCAGCAGCATTCTCCCGTAATGTCCAAGAGCCATTGAAGGAGAGTCCACTGGGTAATGGAATGGATTCATAGTGGTGTTTCAGGCACAGCAGTGCCCCCTGTAGGGCATGAGTGTCACAGGCTGGGCAGCCCCCAGGGAGTACTGTTGAAAACGGGGCAAGGGAAAGAAATGGTGAGACATGGAGTAAGGATGAGGACGAGGGGGTACCACAGACTGGGCTAGCACCCCGAACATTGCTAAAGATTTGTAACTGTGCCACCTGGAGCCCTCCCTTTCTCCTCCTGCGGCCTCTTTTAGGGCCTTCACCTGGCTTTCCAATGGCCCCACCTTCCAATGGCCCACTGTTACCCACACAGCTGGTAGAAGATGTGCAGCAGTTTATGGGCCATAATGCTGCCAGCAGCACCAAAGTTCACAGCTCTGTGGAGACAAAGGTTTGTCTTACTCCCAGAGTCCTCCAAAGTTTTTGACCCCAGTTCTCCAACCACAAACCCTATCCATCATAATGTCTGTCCGTTACACTTGGGAAATCCCCTGCCCATCCCCATAGAATGGCCCCTACCTGGGGTAGCCAGGGTGGAAGAATGGAGGTTGGAGGAGTCCGGCTGGGAAGACCACCACATGGTCAGACATTGAATAGTAAGCTTTGACCCCCCAAGCGGACACCTGCCACCTATGGGAATAGCATGTATGAATACCAGCTTTGTCACGTATGGCCCCGCCCACCAGACATATGAAGTCCCTCCCAACTACTGTCACTGTTCCTGTTTCCCCAGGCCCTCAGTTTTCTTTGCTGCTAATCTTGAATGGGCATCTCTGGGATTCAATGTGTGTCTCCCTTGCTCCCATACCTGTGCTGGGGTAAAGACTCCAAGAAGCTCTGGGTGATTCTAGCTTGTAGGGATCGGACACAGCTCAGGAAGGACTGCAGGTAGCTGGGTCCAAGCTGTATCTGGGAGGAGGCAGGAGGTGACTCGGATACACAGAGACAAATAACGGGTGCACACTGATATACGCCAATGGGTACATTTGAACACAGATGGATAAGCCTCGACATACAGACATCCACAGTACAGTGGAAAGCAGCACAATGACACCATGTCCGTGCAGACAGATTTCACATACATTGGCACACAGATAAACACCCTCAGGCAAGTCCCAAGAATGCATATGTGCATGTGTGCACACACACCTATCATGACCTGAAAAGGTTCTGTTGTTCTGCTGGCAAGACCCACAGTGTGGATATTCACCCATAAAACCCAGCCAACATCAGGGCAAGGAAGGGGTTGGTTAGGATAGCCCAGGGTAAAGATTGTCTGCCACTCAGGTGGGTCAGTGGGCTGAGGAGAAGCTGAGGACTAATGAGCTGACAAGGGCAGGGACCTACATCGCTGTATGCCTGTTTGTCCAGTGATAGCTTCAGGACCCATTCTGGGGCCCCCATCTTCACCTGCAGTTGAGTGACCTGGGGAGAGAAACAAAAGGTAGAAGAAAGCTAGCTACCCCAAGTCTATCAGAGGGAATTTCTCGTGTTCACTGCCCTGGTCTCACTGTTTATATTTTCACCAGGATGCGTGTGCAGCATATGGGTGTTTACAGTTGCTATATATTCTTGTGCCTTTGCGTTCTCCTGTCACTGTGATCTCTGGACCCAAAACTCAATTCCACCCCTTGCTCCTGTCTCTCACTCTTGGACTTACCCTATTCTGGGCCTCTTTCCGGGTCTTCTCATCCATCCAAGGAACCCTCTGTAGGCGCGTGATGAGGGCATCCCTGATAGCAGTGAATAGTTTCATGGCCTGTGAAGGGGCCCAGATGGAGACACAGGATCAGGGGCAGCCTTGGTCTGGGGTCCTGCCCACTGGGCCTCTAGGAAGGGCCTTGACCCCAAGGAGCCACCAGAGAAGGGGGAAGATCTCCAAAAGAGATAGCGGAAAGTAAGATTTACTAGGTGACTGGAAACCCAGGGCACAGAGATCTGTGGAGACAGAAAGGAGGTGCCAAGCAGAGAAAGGGAAGGTGGGAGCTGGTCAGTCCTGAGGATTGACAGGGGAGATAGCTCCTCTCCATGGGGAGACCTCAGCCTGCCAGGGGAGGGAGATGCTGTCCTTACCTTTGGCCAGACAATCCACTCAGAATCAAAGGAAGAGGACCATCATTCCTTTCTCTGCTCTTGAAGGCTCCTGTCCTCATACTCTCTTTACTAAAGCATGCATTTCCTCTCTCTATCTTTCTGGGCTCTTCAGCTTTCCAATAAGCTGAAGTTTTCCCAGATTCACAACTGACTGTGTAGTTACTGCTTTCCCAGAAACCTACCATCTTGTTTGTATCCTTTCTTGATGGAGGAAAATGGATGACAATATTTGAAGCCTGAGTTCAAATCCTGACTCTAGTTTTTGGTCAATGTGTGACCTTGGGCAACTTACTTAACCTCTCTGCGTTTCAGTTCTCTCTTCTCTAACATTAGGATGATAATAGGAATTAAAGTAGTTCATGCCAAGTATTTACAAGACTGTTAGCCACATAGTAGGCACTCAAAGACTACTCAGTACTCATTTACTTGCACTTCTTAAGATGATACCATTCCCTTCTCATACCATTTCCTGTGTTGTTAAAAAATCATAGATAAACAGGGAGTAGTCATAGAGGCCATGGAGTTTAATTTTATCATTTTATGGTTTAAGAAGCATAAGAGCAGGGAAGTTGGATAACTTGTCCAAATTCAGGCATGCTACATACACTTGTGTCTCATAGCAAAACAAGGCAAATCTTAAGGACCCAACATGGTGTTCTGTGGCATCTCTCTCATAGTGCACTTTTTCTCTCTGTGACTGCCTGACACCTCAACACCCCCCCCTACCCCCGCCCATGGTGGTGACCATGCAGACCATCAAGAATGGTACAGTGAATAGAATTAGGAGAGAATGGTTGGGTGGGAAGGGTTAGAGAGACATAGGCTGGGGAAGAGCCCTCACATACAGCACGATGAGTTTTCGGGCTGAAGGCCTCATGAATAAACAAGGCTGCCAGGGTAGGCTCGAAGAAGTTTCCTGTCTCCTCCACGCACGTCATCCATCGAGGGCTGGTGGGCTGCAGAGACAAAGCTGGAATGAATGGCTCCCATCAAGAGTTCTTCCTCATCCATCTCTCCAGGCCAATCTTGCCTAGATCTTTACACCCACAGGATGCTCTCTTTCCTTGTCTTTCTGGGTTTGTCCCACTTACCTTCATTTTCCCTTTTGGTGATACACATGGGGCTATTGCTGCTTGGTAAAAAAAAAAAGGGGGGGGGGGTTATGTCCTCCAGGATCAGTCTCATGAGCTTGGATTGGGTAAATAATCCTTATTTATTGACTATTGAATTGAAAGCAAGTCCTCTCTGAGGCATTCTTCTGGAGAACAGAAAGACTCCTGGATAGGAGAAGACTACATACCAAACCTCTTACCATAGCAGGTCTGTTGACCACCCCATCCTCTCCTGCCACATGCGCTACGCTGGTAGCCCAGCAATGGCAGCCACCTTCCCATGTCTTTTTATCTAAAATGGAAACTGGAGAAGGTAGTTCCTCTCTCCTTTTCTGCCACCTTCCCCGACTCTCCAAATGTTTATCATGGATCATATGGTAGGACCTTGTCTTATAAAGAAGAAAATGAACAGAGTGAAAATGGGTTTTAGATGCCATACTGTTTGGAAGGAGAAGGGGACAAAAGAAAAGATGAAACATGAATTCAGAGAGCTAAGAAACTTTGGATCGAATCAGGGAAAATAGGATGAGATCAGGGACATGTCAACTTCAAAGGCAGAGAGACAGACAAAAGCTCAGTAGGGCCTTGGGCAACTGGGGTGATTTTAGCACAGGGACAGAAAAATATAAGCAAAACAATAGAGAGATGCTGGGGGTGGTGGTGGCAGTGTTTGCAGTGAGCTTAGATGGCTTTGAGGAGCTGGCCATGAAGGGGGCCCAGAGATGACACAAAACAGAGAAACATGCCCAAGGGGCTGAGGGTGAGAGTGCCAGCCTAGGGGAGAGCTGAGCTGGAAGTGTGAAAACACAACTAACATGTTAATTTGGGTTAAGTGGGATGAAATCACAAGACTCCATTCCTGTAACTTATTTACTCCTCACAGAGCTCCTCACAGGAAAGGTAGTTAGGCTGCTACCATGCTTTCTGGTGCCAAAATTAGAGAGCATTTATGGAGCTTCCCACAAGAGAGAAAACAGAAAGGGAAGGCCAGTATTGTTGTGATATGGAAGAAGGAGCTCCCAGGCCTCTGCCTGTTAGGACATTTACCATTTTGGAGGCTGTTCCAGACCCAGTTGCCCACATTTTTGTGCTCTTGTCTCCTCACTGTGAGACCTTGAGGACCTTCTCCTCTTGTGAGGATAAGGACTCAGATGCTTTCTATAGTGTATTAGTTGCAGCTCTAAAACACAACTGTGAAAAGCAAAGATGAAGTGAATGGAAACGTGGATCTGATAGCCATGACTGGGTCAAGGGCAGTCTCTGCTGGCTGCTTTCCATGTCTGTCCATCTCCCACAGGCCTCCTAATGACAGGTTTGGATCGGAGACTGCCTTTCATCAACCTGTTGGTGTGGGAGGTAGGGGTTACCACTGGAGCAGCAGCAAACACACCAGCCTTGAGCTTGGTAGTATGATCTGCCTGTCCTTCCCATACCTCCTGGTTTGAGCTGTTTCCTGATCCCTTTTGCTAATGCCCACCCATTTCTCCAAAAGCTTTTGCCTTCTCCATGCCTGTGCCCACAGCCTGGGCCATGGCAGACTCTGACCTGGTTCCTGGAAACCATAGATGCCACCTCAGAATACCCATTGCTAACCCCAGTGAAACTCTGGGATTCTTTTGGTTCAGTTGTGCTAGATCACATCTCCCATGAGCAGGAAAATAACTTCCAGAATCTATAAATAAAATGTCAGTCTCAGGGGTGGAGGTTAAATATTCATCTACTGGGGGCTATGAGTATCCAAGCTGTCTCTCAAGACACGGAATGACAGAGCATACCATATATATTAAAAATAAAGAAAAAGAGAAATACAGAGAAAAATCATTGCCAAAATATAAAAGATGAAAGAAATACTTCAAATCCAAGATATTGAGGCCCAGTAGATTCATTTCAGGGAACTGAAGAAAAGTTGTAGATATAAGCTTAGAACCATAAATAATAACAAAAAATTCCAGGAGTCTGGAGGAAAGCAAACATTGTCTTAAGCTGCCATAGAGGGAAAGAGATTTTGGAGATTACAGGCCAGCCAGGAATCCTTAATGTTAATTTCTAAAGAAAATTCTAGAATGAGTCATTGAACTGGTCATTTTTGAACACTTGGAAAATAGTATGTCACTACTAAGGGATCTCTGGGGATCACTGAGGATAAAATAATGCCAAAATAATAACAATTTTTCTAGTTAAAAGCTTCATCAAACCAGGATAACCCAAGAGAGCCAGAGTCATGAGCTCAAGAAGGGGCCATGAGGTGACGTAACTGAGAAGCAGCCAGCATCAGGCCTGCGGAGCATGGAGGGCCAGGGTCAACGCGTACAGCACAGCCAGGTGGATAGCTGCATCTCTCAGCCCCAGTCACTAGCAACCCCTGCAGAAGCCTGGTCCTGTGCTGCCCAAGCTTCCCATTTAACCACACGTGTGTGCGTGCACGTGCACACACACACACGCTGGAAGTGGGCCACCTCCTAATTTTTGACTGTTGGTGATTAACTAAAAGTTTGTAAAAAGCTTTAAGGCTAGGAAACCACATCTATTGGTCAGATTCATCCTCAAGGAGCCACCAAGCACTACCTCTGAACAGAGAATTCAGCATTTACCAAATGTGGGTTATTAACTTAAACCCCTGCACTTCAACTATGTGAACTGTCACCACAAGAGTAATACCCGTGCTACCTCCCTTGCAGCACCACTCAGGAGATCAGGTGAAACAACGCATCTAAAGCATTTTGTAAATCTTAATGTACTCCCTCACTGTGTTGGCATTGGTTTTGTGGAGGAGGCATTTGATAAAGCTGCAGACCAAGTCCTTGTGAATTAGATGGAGAAATCTGTGTCGGAAGATAGTGTAATTTGTGTGGCTTCATAACTGGCTGAACCATAAAGAAACATGTGACTCCAAGTCCACATGAGCTTGCTGACCAGACTGTATGTACTCCCCACCTAGCATGGCACCTCTCTGGAGTGTTTCTCCATAACACTAATCACCCCCTAACATATTTTATTTACTTAGTTCATTGTCTTTCTTCCTACATCAGTATATAAGTGTCTGAGGGCAGGGACTTCTGTCTTTTGTTCATGTAGTATTCTGAGCTGACAGCTCAGAGCACAATTCAGGGCTCGAATTCACGGACCACAAGATCATGACCTGAGCCAAAGTTGGCCACTCGATTGACTGAGCCACCTAAGCGCCCCTCCAGAAAACCCTTTAAACTCTCTAGGCAACTGCCTCTGTCCTGCCTCCTGCACAGCGATCCACCACTGCCATCCAAACCCTCCCTCAGGTCTCCCTCTTGGGAACTCCTAGCATTTGTTGTATGAGCCAGAGTCTTTTGGAACGCAGCTACACCCATTCATTCAGTCCACGTACAGCTGCTTTTGGGCTACAAGGACGAGCTGGGTGGTTGCAACACAGACCATAATGGGCCGTGAAACCAAAAGTATTTACTATCTTGACCTTTGTAGAAAGAATTTTCAAACTCATTTTCTGTTTTCCTACCCACTCATTTCTCAATCCTGATAGCATGTAATTAACAACATGGCCTCATGGGCAGGACTGATCTGTTTTGGAATCTGTTCCTTCAGTTAAGAGCTGTGTGGTCTGGGGAAAGTCACTTGCCCTTTCTGAGGACCTCAGAGTGTTTCTGGAGGATTAAATAAAATCATCCACGCTAAGTGTTCCATGCAGTGCCTGACATACAGTAACACTGCATATCAGCTGTTATTCTATTTGTTGGTAGAACTTGACTCAGTTTTCAAGCCCAAGGACAACTATAAATCCTAATGGCTACATGAGGATGTATATGATAGATATAACAGATGTATATAAGTATACAAAAGATGGCAACTTTAGCAATTTGTAAGACTTTTTAAGTTCTTTAAACGTGATTTCAATATTTGCATTTACATCCTTCAAGAAGTGCCATCAGACCATGGTTGTGGGGTTGACAGGAAGCTATTGGTTGACAGGGATTTTGCAGCACTGCTAAATAAGAGCAGCTGGAGCTCCGTCAGCTTCACCTGTGTCAAGAGAAAGGCTAGGCAGAAGCTTCCTGGGGACATACCAACCTGAGGGAAAGTCCTACAAAGGAGTGTTTTGTTGTCATTTTGTTTATTTGTTTGTTTCTTGCTTAGCAAAAGGATTATGCACACAGTGGAGCCAAACTTCCAGAATTCAAATCCTAGCTCTACCAATTTACTAGCTATAATACCTTGACCAAGTCCCTCAGCTTTTGTGCCTCAATTTCTCCATAGTAAAACAGGACTACAATGATGTGCCTTCCTCACGAAATTCTTCTGAGGGTTAATTCAGTTTATATCTATCTAAAGGGTTTAGAAAACTGTCTCATTCCTGGACATCTGGCTGGCTCAGCCAGTTAAGCATGTGGCTCTTGATTTCATCTCTGGTCATGATCTCATTGTGAGTTTGAACCTGAGTGAGTTTGAGCCCCACGTCAGGCTCTTCACTGACAGCAAGGAGCCTGCTTGGGATTCTCACTCTTCCTCTCTCTTTGCCCCCCCCCCCAGTAAAGAAATAAACATTAAAAAAAAATAACCTTGAGGTGCTTGGGTCGGTTAAGCTTTCTACTCTTGGTTTTGGCTCAGGTCATGATCTCACGGTTCATGAGTTCAAGCCCCCTGTCAGGCTCTGTGCTGGCCATGCAGAGCTTGCTTAGGATTCTCTCTCCCTTTCTCCCTCCCTCCCTTTCTGCCCCTCCCCTCCTCATGCTCTCTCTTTCTCTCTCTTAAAATAAATAAATTTTAAAAATCATTTAAAATTTTAATTTAATTTAAAAAATAACCTATAAAAAAAAGAAAAATGTCTCACTCTCAATACTCAATAACTACATGCTAGTCCCTGTACACTCATTTACCCTTTCTGAATTCCACAGCTATTTCAAGTTGTCAAAGCAGTGAGTTTCTCCAAGACATAGAAATGGTCCACAAGTTACTAGAGAAAAAAAAAAAAAAAAAAACCTGTGGTTTTCAAGACTACACTGAAGCCTTTACTGAGGTTGGAGCATATCTAATGTTCTAGATACCTTCACTTGCATTGGATGTGTCTGACATAGGATTTCAAAGTTCTTGGTAAAGAGTGTCTTCACATCTTATGTAACACAGTAGATGTTTGGTTAGTGTGTATGGTACAGAACTACCACCTCAGATATATCAGGCTCTGCACCACAAAACCCATATGCTGTGGCCGCACAGATCTCACTAGATGTCAGAGATGAACTCTTTGGGAAGCACCTTTGAACATCAAACACTGGAATCACCTAGACAGAGGAAAGGCCACTCCTTGCCAGTCATGTCTTGCATCCCAATGGATCCCAACCTTTAGGTTCACATCCTTAAATCACAGAGTTCTGGATAACTAACTAAGCAAATAGTTTAAAGGTCATGGCAAAGGAAAAGCAATTGCTGATAATTTTGAAGTTTTATATTTAAACTTTAATATTCAAAAAAAGTCTGTAAAAGTAGCCAGATATGTGCCCAAAGGTCTGGTACCTGGCGTCTCAGTTCTCAACATAAGCACTGTATGCCCAACCTGTCTGCTTCTATGGAAAATCCAGACATGGAACGGCATCTGCCCTCATGCCCTCTCCCTGGGAGAGACACACCGACATTTATCCCTCAAAAGGGCAGATGCTCGATTAGCCCCCAAATGGGAAAATTCCACCCTCCCCTCCTCACCATGGGTGGTCGTTGGGTCAGCTCCCGCAGTTTCTGGTTCAGCGATCTGCGTGCCTCCTGGAACTTGCTGTCCAGGGCCGGAGAGAGGGTTCCCACCAGCCCCAAGATCATGTGGCTCTGCAGAAAGTCCCTGTGGAGGGAAAAGAGACACACACACACTCAGGGCTCTCGGGGTGCCTCGAGAACAGTTTCCCCTTGTGTAGTCATGGATACTCCTGGGGGAAGCCCCTTCTCTTCTGTCTATGGACAATAATGGCTTGACCTTGGAACAAGTTAAGAAGAGCTTTTCTTGGTGTGAGTCGGGGAATGGTAATAGAAGGAACTAGATGCAAAAGTGACTTTTCAAGTCGCAGGGAGTGAAGGGTCTAGGCTAGATGACGACTAGGCTTTAAAAAATGTAACAAAACAGATTCATCTACTTCCACATCCAAGAAATCTCAGCTCACCTTAAGATGTATCTTCTAAGCACAACAAAGCTGGGACCTAAGACCTTCCTCTGCCTTGCTGGTAACTCTCACCAGATCTGATTTATAGCTTTATATAAACCTGCTCATGCCCACAAGAATGGTCCTTTGCTTCCTTCAAAATGAATTTCTAGATGTGCTGCCACTGAGGTACTATGAAGAAGGTTCCTAAGCCTGGAAGGAAGCCCCTGTCTTCAGGCAGTGGCCATGTAGGTACTGGGGATGACAGAGAGCCCAACAGAGTCTCACGTGCAAGGACCTCAGGATCCTCTCACAGCTTAGAAATGGCCTCTCCCCCAAGAGAACCTCCAGCCTTCACTTCTTCCATCCACTGGCCCCATGGGCCTCCAACTTCTATCCCAACCCCCTCCCCCAAGCTGTTGACAAGACAAACATACCTGAGCTGTCCCTAGTGACTGGCCTTCCAGCATCTCTATAGCTTAGAGGCTCTTCAATGGTTGGGTTCTATTCCCAGGAAACCCTGTATCTTGCTGGGCACCTGAATCCCTCATTTCATGTGTGTGTGTTTTCCTTTCCCCGTGCTCCTCAGGCCTCTCATACTTCCTGTTGCCTCCATTTCCTCTTGGGCCATTCATACCAACCCTTCTCTGCCCTCACACGTCTGAGGATCTCTTCCATCTTCCCGGGAAGACCTTACCAGCATGCAGTTTCCACAATCTCCTTTGTCCCTGAGGCCTCCAGGTCCTTGGACTCTTTTCATTGCCCTCACTCTCCCCCAGTCCCACCTGAGGCAAACCTGTATTTCAACAGCTGCTCTTCCACCAGCTGAGACATATTTTTCAAATACTCCAGGTCATGGACTACGAGGTGCTGGGTGGGGCTGAGGAACATTGGCCTGAATGTCGCTTGCAAGCAGGACAACCAGTCGATGGCAGGGGCCATTTCCTTAGAGGAGGGACACAAGGCTGAGGGGGACAGGAAAGGAGGAGAGGAGGCAGGAGAGGGGGTTTCCTCTCCCTCAGGGTTTGAGAAGGAGTTGGGAAGGGGGTGGTTGGGGGAAGGGATGGGGCTGGGAAAGTTAGGGATGGAAAGGAATTAGGGAATGAGGAGAAAAGATTTCAGGAGATCCAGAAAGTTTGGGAGAGAGACCCTCCTGCCCATCCTCCCCCAGTCCCCGGTTCAAGGCACCTGCAGTTGGTCAATAGTGACCAGCCGGGAGAGATCTCCCTGTGCCCGCCGCTGCTCCAGGGGCCTCAGAAATTGAAACAGCTGCGAGGTAATGGAGATGGACATGGAGGCATGTTCTTGCACCTTGTCTGGGTCTCCTCCTAGCAAGGTTCCCAGCCGATTCAGATAAGCCAGGTATTCCCGCACAATCTGGGGGAGGGGCAACCTCAGTCATAGCCACCGGAGGCCCCGGCCTTTCTCCAAGCATTATAGGTCAGGACCTGACTTCTGTTCATGGAGCCATCTTACCTGAGCATAAATCTTCTGTTCCTGTTCTTGATTGAGGGGAAGATCAAACTCTGGCTGATCAATCTGGACACAAGAGATACTGGAGAGAAGTAGGGAGCGTGGAGGGAGGAGAGGACAGGTGTGGGGAGATGGGGAATGTACTGCAGGAGACAGCCTCAGGACACAGAGAAGGCGTGAGAGAGGACAGTGAGAAAGGGACTGGGGTTGGGGACATTGGGGAAAAGAATACCCCTTATACTATACAAACATGGAAAATGTGAAGACAGGGTGGGTACTTCAACGAGTTTTGGGGTGCTCGTCAAGGGAGAAGCCTACTGATCTGTGTCCTGAAGGGAGCCATCCCCTGTGCTAGGTCCAGGTCCAGAGTTAAGGGAGGGGGAAACCATCTCAGGTGCAAAATTTAAGAGGTACTTAAGACAGTAATCAAGATAAATATCTTACTTGATATTTTTCAAATAAAAATCAAAACTAAAATCCATGCTGACTAAAATAGCAAACCTTTGTTCATCATACATTTTTTTCCTGAAAATCCAGAATGTATTTTTTATCCATTTTGAAGAAAAAAAATATATTTGTTTAAGTCTGCAATAAAATTTTGGTCCATTTTAAGGGGAAAGGACCTCTTTTCCAAAAAAATCCACAGTGAACAAAATTTTGATATTTTTTTTATTCATCATAGATTTTTGTATTGGCTTTGTTTCTTTTAATTTTTAAAAATATTTATTTTGGTTGCTGTTTTTGGTATCGTCTTTGATGTTGCACACAGGTGAGTGGCTCACTTACCTCACCTGCCTGCCTCACCTTAGTCCTGGCATGTCCTTGATTCTGTTCTGATCTTTGCTTCCAAACTATGCCTTTTTCTACACCAACTTCAATATCCCACTCCCTCCTTGGACTATATACTTCCCCCTATCTTGAAAAATCTTTCACTTGGCTCCCTTGTCACATTTTATGTCCACACTTTGAAGAACTAAAATTCATCCATGCCCTTGCTCCAACTTCCTTGCCTTCCTCTTAAACCCTGTACAATCTGTCCATTTCCAAAACGGTTTTCAATACTCTCCTCTAGAAGGTTCTCAGTGGTACCATTGCTTATTCTCTGAGCTCAAAAATCTCTAGAAACCACGATGACCCTTCCCTGCTGAAACACTCCTCCCCTGCCCTCTATTGCACAGCCATGCTTGTCTCAGACCCCCTCCCTGTACCCAGACTCCTTACTGGGCTACTGCCTTTGCAGTCTATCCTCAGAGTCCATCCAGTCTCCAGTTGATGGTAACCACCCTCCCCCCACTCACACTGCATCAAAACTGGGAAAACTCTTTTCTAACTTCTCCATTTTCTGTATTTACATTCAACCAGTCACCAAGTCCTTTAGAAGCACCATGGACCATCACCACTGGGATGAAGTCACCTAAATCTTCATGCCTGGCCTTCTAATTTCTACCATAATCACCTTAGTTCAGAACCTCCAAATTGCTCATCTAGATTCCTCAACCCCTCAAGGCTGACCTGCTGAAGGTCGTTCCCTCTGCTTAAGCTCAATGCATAGCCATCATATTTTTTCCCATGAAGTCAGAAGCAATCACCTCCATCTGGCCTCTTAGGCCAGGAATGATTGGGCCCAACCTCACATCTTCAGCCTTACTCTACTCTTATCTCCCACCACACCTCACCCCTACCCCAAATCCTCTGTTCAACAAACCAGCCTTCTCACTGACCCCACAGAAGAGTCATACCATTCCAGCCTTAGCTCAGGACTTTCCTGAAGTCCGTTTCATGCCCTTAGTTTCACCTTCACCTATGTGATTCAACCATGTTTCAAGGCTCAGCTCACATTCTTCCCTCTCTGAGCCATTGTGTAACCATTTCAGATCTTAACTATTCCCTAAAGGCCATACCAGTGGAGCTCCTGAACATACCCTTTAGAACTGAATTTTAGAGTGTGTCATACTGATTAACAGCTGTTCCTGTATATTCATCCCCCTATAATTTTGTTGAATTTTTGAGGGCAGGGGCCAAATAGATGTCATTGCATTGCCTACAACAATATCGATGCCTTCGACATTTTTTATTTATCTGCTTGCCCAACAAACACCTGCCATGGGCCTCTAGATGCCTAAACCTATGCTAGGTCCTGAGGAACAAAGTTAAATGAGGTATGGTCCTGTTCTCAAGGGGCTCGCAGTCTTTAACACAGTATCAATGATGAGAGCTTGGGATGGTGAGAGGACAGAGGGTCTACCTAACTCATGGCTAGGGCGTCAGTGAATCATTCCTGGAAGAGATAATAAACAAACCCTAAATTTGAAAAACATGTAAGAGTTTTCCAGGCTGTGTGACACACTGGGGAGTTAGTGTTGGAGACATGGATACAAAACACAGAGGAATATTCTTGAAGCTAGAAGTGAGGGAGCATAGCTTGAGGTTTAAGGGGGACAAGGAATGTGGCATGAGATAAGGCTGGAGATGTGGGGTTTAAGAGAGGCCACTGGAGGCATTTAAACAGAGACAATAGTCTAATTGCTATAGCTCTTGGTTTAGAAAAGTCCCTCCAGCAAAACTGAAGAGTAGATAAGAGAAGGACAATACTGGAGATGAGGGGGCTAATTAAGAGGCTGTGGGGGTGATCCAGATAGGCAGTAAGGAAGATAGGAACTACTTCAGTCTTCACAGGACTGACTCTCCTGCTCCCTTCTCTGATCTCACCTAGTGTACATTGATGATTTTCCCTAAGATAGATATCTTATCTACGTTGCCCATTTGACCTGTTTGTCCAACCTGCAACCTTCTTCTAGGAGATGTTAGGCTGGAAGTCGAGGCAGGCCCAGGTCCTGCTGTGTGTTGGTGCACCCCTCACCTGAATGACTGGCTTGTGTGGATGGCTGGGATGAGGTCGCAGATAGGCTCTGAAGAATGGGAAATAACCATACTGACTCATCAGAAGGCTCAGGGTTCGGTTAAAGTCTAAGGAAGTCCAATTACCGGAGATTCGCCAGCCTCCAAGCTGGGAAGCAGAGAGACAAGGCTCAGCAGAGGGGGATGGCCCGGGAGACTTGTCTCCCCCACCCCCATCCCCTTCCTCAGACAGCTGCTACTTCCTGACTGCTACTCTGAGTGCTAGGAGCCTTAAGGGCTGACTCCACCTCTCTCCTTTCTCTGCCCTCACCCAGGGTCCTCATGCTTCTGGAGGGTACTGCCATTTCCATCTCCCTCCTGGAACTTTGAGATGCCTAGGAAAGAGACACCCTCCTCCCTTTCTAGAAAAAAAGTGGGGGAGGGCCGCCCTGAGCATACATTGGTCCCACGTGTTATGTATCCCTACTGCCTCTGGTCTCACCTCCTCAATGACTTGTCTGAGGGGAGCAGCCCCCGCAGCTTCGATGGCGCCTGTGTCCAGGCAGGAGCTGTAGAACTGGAAGGCTTTGTCCTCCCCACCGCCCAGGTGCCGGGAACCTAGCTCTTCTAGAAAAGAAGCATGGGAGAATTAGAGGAGCAGAGCTGAGCAGGGCAGGTGGGACAGAAGGGGAAGACTCCCAGGGAAATGGAAGGAAGTGGGGGAAATGGGGGTGAGGACAGGTCGGAAGGTGGGAGGGCTGAGCAGCCTGATGGGACAGTGAGTGCGGGGAGGAAGACGGGGGAGAGCAAAGGAGACACGAAATACAGATGGGGAGGAACAGACACGGGAGAGAAGGAAGAGATGGGAACACCTAGGAACACCTATGGTGCAAATGGAAGGCAAGACGGAGGTGAGTAAAGAAATTAGAAACATTTGCCAAACCAGAGAACTTGGAGAGACTGGAGGGAAGAAAACTCAATCAGACAGGTTTAGCAAGGAGAAGAAACAAAGTCCAGACCCTGGCTGGTGACCCAGGAAACACACACACACACACACACACACACACACACACACACACACACACAGCAATAATCTGCATGCCTGTGCATGGGAATCACCCACCCTGTGATATCTCCTGCCCATGCAGCCCCCATACCTTTCACTCAGTAGTGAGCAACAGCTTCTATCCTAAACATACGTTTTCTTTTCATCTCTTGGCCTTAACCGGAAGCATGGCCCCTCCAGAGAGTGCCTGCCACCAGTCCTTCTCCATCATAAAGAAGGCAGAGGGATACATTCATTCCTCCCCAATTCCAGTGGACTCCATCACATTCCTAGGTTCCCTTACACTGGAAATGCTATGCCTATCATACTTGTTCTTATTCCCGGTCGTCACACCTTCACACCATCCTCCAACTTCCTGGGACCGGCTTCCAACCCCCCAGATGGCCTAGGTTGCTCCCTCAGAGATCAACTCTCAATTCTTCTGTCTTCTCTACAGTCACTGCCTACAGGCGACTTCTGTACCCCAGGGCTTTAGGTTGGCCCTCTCCTCTTCCAGCATGCCTTCTGCGTCTGGATCCATTCCCTGGCACACAGCCAGATGCCACCCCTTCTCACCGCATGGCCACATCCTCCCAGCCAGCCCCAACACCCCACTTCTTCCCCTAGAGCTTGCACACCAGTGTCCGAGGGAGGGGGCGGGGAAGTGACTGCAGGGAGATGCTCAGTGACCAGGGTGCTAACAGACAGGCAGGGCTGGGGACAACTGACACCAGGACTTTTAGTACAGCAGGTGCTGAGGGCCACTGGTGAGGGGGGGTCCCAGGCATAGGAGAGAGCTGGAAGATTTATGCAGAGCAACAGAGAAGGGGCAGATTAGTGAAAGGGGGCTCTTGAAGAGAGCGCAGTAGGGGCGCCTGGGTGGCTTAGTCGGTTGGGCGTCCGACTTTCACTTGGGTCATGATCTCGTGGTTCGCGGGTTCGAGCCCCACGTCGGACTCTGTGCTGACTGTCAGCTCAGAGCCTGGAGCCTGCTTCAGTCTGTGACTCCCTCTCTCTCTGACCCTCCCCTGCTCACGTGCTCTCTCTCTCTCTCTCTCTCTCTCTGCTAGAAATAAATAAAAAACATTTAAAATAAAAAATTTAAAAGAGAACGCAGTAGTCGTGGGCAAGTGGCAAAGGAAAAATGAAGACAGGAACCATGAGAGGAGGGGGAGGAGGCACTGAGGTAGTAGCTACTGAGCCCGAGCAGCAAACCAGCGGCTGTGCCACAACCACACAGGTTTGGGACAGCAAGATAGTTCTAGGCTCAGGGCCACCCCCTTGCATGGAGAATCTTCCACCCAGTGAGCCTCACCCAGTATTTTACGAAGTCTCTTCTTGTTCTCCTCTGCAAGAGCCTGAAAAGAACTATGGGTCCCTTTGGACTCTCCACAGGCAAAGCTGAAGAAGTCGGTGCAGGGAGCCACACTGCTGTTCCCAGAGGCCAGGTAATGAGCCTGAAGATCCCAACATTCCGGTGTCCTGCAAGGCCCTGCCAGGTGAGGGGTGGGGGGGAAGCTCAGAGCTGAGAGAGGGAGAAAGGGCCGGGGCGCCCCCGAGGAGCTAGACAAAGGGCAGCTTGGTAGAGAGAAGGGAAGGGACCCCCAGGAGAAGGACAGGACCTCACCAAGCCCGGGGGCCAGATTGGGAGGGAGAGGACATGATGATGAGGCAGGGGGGGAGGTGAACGAGTCAGTGGGCACAAAACCACAGAGCCCACCCCGACTCGGTTAGGGGACTCCAGGATTGTGCTTACTAGGGCCACAGCTCCGGAAGATGTAGACAAAAAGCACAGAAGAACCAAGGAGTAGACTGAAAAGCAGGCCAGCCATTAGCACCCGCCTGATGATGAACCCTGCCATTATGCCGGTTTCCTGTGGCCACTCTACTTGAGATACTGGAGGTTGCTGTGCAGGGAACTAGGAAGTGAAAAACCACAAGAGAGAGGGGGTTGGGAGAGAGGGGTGGGGGAGTGAGAGGGAGAGAAGAAAGAAAGAAAAAGTTAGTGCCAGGGCCCCTTGGTAGAGAGATGATCTCCTCATTCTCCCTAAACCCAACCCGATTCCAACCCCTGGGAGATGCACAAACAGGGTAAGGACCAGGCAGACTGTGAGGGGTGAGAGTGTGTGGGATGTTAGAGCTGAAAGGAGGTCACACATCTGACCCACAAAAGTCAGGGATGGCACTTACCTCCTGCCTTAAGAAAGGCCCCCTTCCCCATGCCCGGCTCATTCCCCCCGGCCGGGGTTCTTCCCCACTCTGGTCTCCACCCTCTTGAACTGAGGAGGAGAGATGAGAGAAAAGCTGGGTCAGAAAGGGGGTGCATTAAAGAGTTATATCAGGTTTATCAGGTGGTTTTGACGCTTCCCTTCATGCACCCGCTATCATCCCAGGGCAGTGTTCCCAGATGGGCTTCAGAACGGCCCCTCCCCTGGATGCACCCCTACTTTCCTCTCTCTCCTGACACCTCCATTTCCTTTCCCGTTTCTGCTCCCCAAGCCTCACATTTCCTCCTCTCCCATGGGGGCAGGGCACTCACACACAGTGGCCATCCACCCCCAGCCTAGCCATCTGACCCCAGAGGGGAATAGTTTTCTCCAGGGGACTTGCCGTCTGTCAGTCCTCTCTGCTTCGGCTCTCAGAATTCTTCCTGGCTCTGTTCTCGGTGCTGAATCTGAGAGGTGGGGTTCAGGAAATGGCCTCCCTCCTACCCCACCCCAGTTCCTCTGTCCTGGAGAAGGGGAACTTCTGCCACTTGACCCTCCTGTCCCCATATACCCATGCTATTGGCCTCTGGGTGGAGTCCGTTTATCAGCCCAGAGACACCCAGACCTCTCCTCCTCCTTTATCTCAGCTTCTCAGGGGAGGTGAAGGGAGGGAGTCTTCACTCCCCAGTAATTTTGCCCTTGGGTGGCTTCTCTTGTTCTGCTTTGTGCCTTTGCTCATGGAGTTTCTTTATTTCTGGAATATTCTTTCTTCTCTTCTTTCTCCTATGACTGAAATCTCCTGGATCCTTCAGTTCTCAGGTAAATGCCACCTTCCTCATGGCCTCTCACAGCTCTGGGCCCATTCTTCCTGCTCCTGGGAATGCTTGATGTCTCCCAGGGTGTCACAGCCCTGCCGTTTGCAGGCAGAGCAGTGCAGAGAAAATCCAACAAACCTGGAGACCCCTAAGAGCTAATTATTAGCCCTGTGACAATAAATAAGCCATTTAAACTCTCGTACAGGTAAGAAAGTTTCATCATCTAGAAAATGAGTCTGATGTTTGCCTTGCCCCCGCCATGGGATCTGATACCTGGTACAGAAGAAGGAGGCATTACCACACCTTTCATTCAGCACTCTCTTCCACAGGCATCTTCACCTCCCTAGTGATTACAAATCTTTAGTGGCTGGGACAGCGTCCCTTTTTCTTTCATATCCACGTGAGATGCTTTAGAAATATTTGTAGGGATGACTTGCATTCCAAGCCGGAAATTCTCCTCCTCACATCACACTGAGGTCTCCCCTGGGGTCGCAGTGAGCACATTTCTGAGAGAAGGCATTTCACCTCTGTCCCTCTGTGCTCCTCTCCCAGGCAAAATAGGAAAGTCACACTCAAGACCCCTTGGCAGTTGTTCTTGACACTGTGCTATGGTGCCTTTGTTGGGATGGAGATGAGTACGGGTCCACGGTTAGTGAAGAAGAACAAAGCTAACATGCCCTATGGAGGCCATGTTATGGGGCATCATGAAGGTCATGAAGAAAAGTCAGGGCTTTGGGCATTGCAAAAGGAGGGACTAAAGTCTTCTGAGGAGGAGTTCCACATGATGAACATTGTAGCTGTGAAAGCTAGTGTGGTACTGGGTCTGGATTGCTTAGATGAAAGGCAAGAGACACAGTGGTACTTTGGTGGTGCAGGTGTGATGAGTGAAGACTTGATCGAGGGTGATGACAGAGGGGATGTAAATACCTGGAAAGAAAAATTTTATGGGAGGAAATAAAGTCTTGGAAACTGATAAAGTCAGGGAGGAGGCAGAGAGTGTATCAGTCTCAGATGAGCTTCATAGTTTATTTCTGGGTGACCAGAAGCATGGTGATGGCAGTGGCACAAAGTAGGACCATGGCTAAGGGTGGCTGTAGGAATCATCTTGAGACGAAAATGATGACTCAGGATTTTAGAGGTTTTCGGTCTGTTTGGATACAAGTCACTTGTGCCTTCTCTGTTACCTCCCCTTCCCCAGATAATCAACCTTGATCTTCCAGGTCCCTCCCAGGTCCCTCCTTTTGTACAGCCAAACCCTCTGGGCTGATGTTTCTCTAGGAAAATGATAATAGGGGCAATTCAGATTAGATAAGAGGCACAGGTTGAGGCACAGGTGTGCTGTGTTACATTAGTGACTGTGAACAGCCATGTGGCCTGGGCTTAGTGTCTCTGTCCTAGAGAAGCTGAGCCAGTCATGGAGATAGAGCGACACGGGTGCCATTCTGCCCTGCCCGCCCTGCTGCCTCTGTTCTGGGAGCTGCCTGAGAAGCACAACCCCTTTATCTCCCACATCCCACTGTGCAGTGAGTCATCACCACCACCGCCACCGCCAGGCCCCAGCACCCCACACATCTCCAGTGCAGCCATCGTCATTAGCTGTAAGCACCGAAAGAGCCCCAGTGAGCAACCGCCGGCTCACAGAGCAGGCACATGATCGTCTTGGCAGACACTGCCTCCTGGTTGCTTTCACTGTTCTGTCCTGTCTATTCGAATTCCAGGATCTGTTGTTTGATACCATAAAAACATTAACTAGTAATAATACTGGCAATAGTATCTACTTTTTACTGAGCACTTCCTATGTGCCAGGACTCCAATAAAAATGCTTTGCTTATGTACATATTCTCCATTTAGTCTTCAATTCTGTGAGGGCCATGGGAGCTATTCTCCCCATTCTACAGAAGAGAAGACAGATACATGAAGCTCAGTACATTTGCCCCAAGTTATGAGGTCAACAATCATCAGAGCTGGGAACTGAAGCAAAGCCTTCACTATTTAGACCTTCCGTCATTAAGTTCTATTTTTGGAAGTCTCTTCCTGGGCAGAATCTTTTGTCTAAACTCTTTCAACTATCCTTCACTGTGATCTTGTTATGACTGCCTTGGGAGCTGTTACTCCCCAGACTCTCAAACATCCATTTCACCTTTTGAAGATCATGTCTTTATTGTTGTCCATAACCAGCTAGCATCAACAGTGCCTAAAGCATCAAAATTAAGGATGGGACATTTATCTACATATGGTTGCACTCCCAGGGATGTATGTCAGTGACAGTTTACCTCTCAGATTACTCGATTTCAGTGATAACAATGAAGAAGCTTCTTCCTAAGGAGCAATAAATCCCATCCTGAATGAACCAGAGGAAGCTTTGATGTCACAGGCAACACTGGGGAGGCTGACCATCACTGGGTCAGGGCTGGGGGCATTCTAATTGCTTTTTCAAAGGAATCTATATTGAAAGTTGTAGATTACCTCTGGGAAAGAAGAATTTATGTTTTTGAAATAATTTAAGTGACAAGTCTAGATGGACTGCCTTTACTATTCCAATTTCCATATATATGTGTTCTTCTATAGACACAAGAGTAGAATACATAATGTCTGTTTAATTAAATTAGTAAATTAATCAGGGCACCTGGGTGGCTCAATCGGTTAAGCTTCCAACTTTGGCTCAGATCATGGTCTCGTGGTTTGTGAGTTTGAGCTTCACATCGGGCTCTGTGCTGACAGTGCAGAGCCTGCTTGGGATTCTCTCTCGCTCCCTCTCTCCTTCTCTCTACCCCTCCCCCATTACAAGTGCATGTGTGCTCTCTCTCTCAAAGGAAACATAAATAAAAAATTTTTAAAAATTAGAATTAATAAAAATATGTTCAATAGATAATAGTTGGATTGGTGTTGAACATGGCAAAAACTTGAAAGTAATGCCCTGAAGCCTGAAGTTTGAAATGTGTACATGTCAACAATGTCTCAAAGGAAGGGCCTTGTCCTTAATTTTTTAGTACTCTTCCATGTCATCTTCCCTTCTCTTCATATGTGCAGCAAATCATCACCTTGTACACCTTAAACTTACACAGTACTGTATGTCAATTATATCTCAAGATCATCCTTACCGGGGGGAGGATGGGATCATCCTTACCAAGGTGGGTGGACACCATCGAATGTGCCGTATGCTCAAATGAAACAAAAAGGTAGAGGAAGGACAAATTTGTCGCCTTTGTTGAGCTGGGACATCCATCTTCTCCTGCCCTTGGACACTGGTGCTCCTGCTTCTCAGGTCTTTGGACCAAAACTCACAATCTGTAAAAGGAAGAATTAACAAGTTAGACTTCATCAAAGTTAAAAAAATTTTGCTGTGCAGGGCACCTGGGTGGCTCAGTCGGTTAAGCATCCAACTTCGGCTCAGGTCATGATCTCGGGGTTTGTGAATTAAAGCCCCACATCAGGCTCTGTGCTGACAGCTCAGAGCCTGGAGCCTGCTTCAGATTCTATGTCTCCTTCTCTCTCTGCCCTTTCCTCGCTTGCTCTCTGTCTCTGTATCTGTCTCTCTCCTTCTCTCTCTCAAAAATAAACATTTAAAAAATTTTAAATGCTTGCCGTGCAAAAAACCATGTTAAGAGGATGAAAAGAAGACTAAGACTGGGAGAAAATATTTGCAAACTACATATCCAACAAAGGACTAGTATGAGAAACATACATTTTTTAAAACCTTTCATAATTCTGCTTTTAAAAGACAAATAATACAATTAGAATATGGGCAGCAGATATTAAGAGGTATTTCTCCAAAATGGATATAAAGACAGCAAATAGGCACACTGAAAGATGTTCAACATCATTAGCCATTAGAGAAACACAAATTAAAATTTTAATGAGATATCACTACTATGTATCAGAATGGATATCGGCCACCAAGTGCTAGGGAGTACACAGAGAAACTAGATCACCTGTACACTGTTCATGGGAATGTAAAATGGTATAGCCATTCTGGAAAACAATTTGGCAGTTTCTTAAAAACTAAATAAGCTGTTAATGTGTAAGTAAAACTACTTTACACATTAACTATACTTCTGAGCATGTATCCCAAAGAAACAGTCATGTTCACATAAAACCTGTATACAAATATCTGTAGCAGCTTTAGTCATAGTAAACAAACTGGAAACAAATCAGATGTCCTTCAGGGTATGGACAGTAAGACAAACCATGGTAACACATACCCTGGAATATTACTCAGCAATAAAAAGGAACAAAGTAACAATACCTGGATGAATCATACCCTGAGTGAAAAAAAGTCAATCCTCCCAAATTACATACTTACTGATTCTATTTATATAACAAAGTTTACAAGCCAAAATTATAGTAGTGGAGAACAAATTTGTGGTTGCTAGTGGTTAAGAAAGGGTAGAGATAAGATAGAAGTAGGCATGGCTGTAAAAGGGGAACACGAAGGATCCTTGGTAGTGATGGAAATATTCTTGATTGTATTAATGTCAATATCCTGGTTGTGAAAATGCACTACAGTTTTGCAAGATGTTACCATTGGAGGAAACTGAATAAAGGGTACATGGGTCTCTCATGTCATTCCTTACAACTGCCGGTGAATCTTCAAGTATCTCAAAATAAAAATTAATTTTAAAATGATAGTTAAGTTGCAAGATAGGTCCTATAATTGTCCCATAGAATTAACTGGATAATGTATCAGTCTGATTCTTTT